AAAACTGTGGAGTTCCAGATTTCCATTCTTTGCCGTTAGAGGTCAGAAACTTCTCGGCATCCGATTTTATGCCAATTTTGTGCCAATTTAACAAAATTAAATATTAAAATGGCTTGTCTAATATATGTTCTAAGAACATAGGTTAAGGATGTAATATATATTTTTTGTAATTAATTTACATAAAAAATTATAAAAATTGATATATATATATATATATTAATATTACTGTCACTTAAATAACTTTAGTTAATTAATTAATTAATTGATTAAACTAAAATTAACATTTATAGTTTTAATGAAAATTAATTATAAAAAATACATTTATTATACTCTTAATTTATATTCTAAGAGCACAAAATAAAAAAATTCATATTAAAATAATAATATAAGAATCAAACCAAAATTTAAATGTCAATCACCTATGTGACCCAAATAATCACACTTCTATTTGAGATACAAAGTGACAACATCCCTAAACCCTAATAACTTAAGGTTTGAGTCCCAAGTTTTTTGCCCCTTATTCCTTAAAAGCAAATAGTAATAATATCATATAATTTTCACTTTTATGAAAATAAAAAAACCAAAATCTAAAGAATAATAAAAAAGTTAATTATTAAGTGTTAATTCTTTACCGTCTTCTTATTCCTTTCTCTCACCTCGTTACCCTGCCACCTCCCTTCTCTTACATACACTCTTTTTCTCTCACTCTCAATTTCCCACTTTGTCCTTCAAAGGAACATGGAAGAAGTTGTGATAGGGTGTGTAATTTTTTGGTGCGTTGGGTGCAATCAATCAAATCGAGGTAATTACCTCATTAATGAGTGGATTAGTTGACTGGGACTCTTCCAACTTAACCAGAGGTCTTGAATTCAAACATTGGAAATGCAGTTCCGTTAAAACTCATGAGGGAGAGTTTTGCCGCCCATTGAGTCCTGCTCGGCTCGAATCTAGATTAGTTAATGGACCAATGGACTTCTGGATGCCAGATGATCATACAAAAAAAAAAAATCAAATCAAAGTAGTTAATGGGATGAAACCTCCCCTCACAGTTGCTACAGTACCCTCCGCATCTCACGATGTTTTCTATTTCAATTTTGCCCTCCAATGGTTTGTATAACTTACCAAGACGTTGCCTTTTATTATTATTATCCTGGAAAATGGCAATGAATCACCAGAACATCCCTAGTTCTTCATGGAGTTTGAGATACAATGTCAAAACCAATTTTATTGGTGCTCTTGTGTAACTAAAAAGCACAAGCTTAGAATGTGAAACATGGAGGTTCTTTGCTGTAACTCAAGCATACAATTGATCGACATTACACTCCCCAAGGAAAACCTTTATGCTGCGGGGTGAACCACAACTGCCTTCAGCAATCAGTGCTCTGTCATTGGCGGCCATGTGCGCGATGATCTTGTAGATCATTTCGATCTGCAGCCATTAGGTAAGAAGGTTAGCCATTTAGTAATGGTGGAATAAGTATAGTCTTAAGACTTTAATTTATTCATACTTCTTCAGGAGTGTGGCACCGCTCTGCCACTTCTTCAAGCGTCAATGGTTCAACAGGCTCTTTACAGCTGAACACAGAGAAAGAATAATAGTAATTAGCAGAAAACCTAAACGCAGCCAAATAAAAGCAATGCACAAAAATATAGCAGCTATGAGACAGAAGTGATGACATTTTGATTAGATCCAAGATCAAAAGATCTGAAATCGTACCTGGCCTCATTAAGCACTGCCAAGACTCGCTTCTGAAGAGCTAATACTTCTCCTGCTGCTTTTTTCCCAGCTTCCACACCTTAAATAAAAAATTAAATGAAGCAACAATAAGGTAAACCAATCAGATGAACTAATCAAAATAACTAATTTGCATGCATGCAGGCAGGACCAAGTTTCTTATATGACGAGAAAATGTATAATACCAGGTTGATGGTAAGCATTAATGTTGATAAGCAAGGCATAAATCCCAACAGCTCGCTCATAAAGTGCTACAAGACCTCCAACAGATCTAGGTGTCACTTCTTGAACAGTAGCAGTTATTGACTCTCGATCATTAGCATACAAAGCTGATCTTGTTCCCTGCACAAGCACAAATCATTTTGGCATGATGAATACGAGGAAAAACTTGTCAGCCTTCATTATCTTTAGTAGTAGTTCAGTTTTTAAACCTGTAACATTCCAAACAGGTAGTCACCACATGTGACACCCGGTTCAAGCTCCCAATCATGACCAGGGGGCCTATCACGTAAAACTTCGATGAAGGTCACAAAGAAATTGTGCACACCCTCTCTCAGTTGTTGAATGTAGCTATAAAATCACAAGATGAGATGAATCAGACCCAGGCATAGCTCACAACATATGAATATCAAATATATTTAAAGCCATGAGCAAAACTTACGCATGCTGATCTGTGCTCCCTTTATTCCCATAGACAGTGAGTCCTTGATTCACCTGAGAAAATCAAGAAGTCATGAAGACATCAACTTGGATCTTTATTTGCTCTGTCTCACTTTTTTGATGTATAATGGAGCACAAGCGACTGCCAATTAGGACAATTTTATGAATGGCCAAACATAGCCAGAAAATTTTGCGGTGCAAAGCAACTCTTTTACCCTCAATCATCAATTTGTGTTTTATTTTATTTTATTTGGCCAAGACCATCAATTTGTGTTAAGACCTTTGTTTTTTACACAAGTTACCTGATAAATTTTAATGAACTTGATGCATTGAGACACTTGAGGCTGAAATGCATTTTAAATAAAATAATCATCTTCAGAGCAGTCACACATACCCGGTTACCATCCAGGTCAAACTCCTTCCCAAGTGATTCCATGACTAACTGCTGCAAGTACCTACTAAGTAGTAATAAGCTGTCCTTGTAAGGAAGGACAACCATATCCTGCAACCAAAAACAGAAGCTGTTCATAAGTGAAACTGCAATATCATAAGATTTGAGAGGCATGACAATCTTAGAGTTAAGAATTACACACCTTTGATCCTACCCCATCAGTCGCCCAATACCAACATAATGCCAGCAATGCTGCAGGGTTATCCTTAAGCTGAAAGAAACAAGATCAAAAGAGATATACATATGTTAATAACACTTTATTGGAAAACTCACACTGAAAAGGGTTAGGAAGAGAAAACCAAAACTAATACAATAGAACTAGGTGGCATCTCAACCGATACCATTCAATTTTGTTTCTAGTAACAAGAAATGAAGCAAACAGCCAAACTATAGAAATTATTGTGATTGGTGCTACCGAAGATCAACATAAGTACATGTGCACATAGAGGTTCTTATCCATACAAGGCATTTACTGCTCATATCCAGTTGCCTTCTCAAATGAGGTGTCAGGGAAAAAAAAAAAAAAAAACAGAAAGAGCTGCATGGAAGGCAGCAAATCACAGAATAAAAAACTGCAATTATCATTATTCAAGAAGCTTCTCCCATATCATACTCATTAGAGAACAGGATCATCATGGAGAAACAATGTTAAAGCAGAAAGCAGGAAACAAATCAAAGAAAATTACCACTCTGGTCCTTGTCGCCTCATCCATTAATGCCGCACCAGCAAGCATTTCTCGAATATTAATTCCCTGCAGTTTTCTTTACTTTTAAAGTACTGTAGAATGAATGATAGATGCATTGAGTTTTTAATTTAAAGGCTTTTACCTGAAGTGCTGCTGGAAGTAGGCCAACTGCAGACATTTCCGATGTCCTGCCACCAACCCAGTCAAACATCGGAAATCTAGCCAGCCAACCCTCAATTCTTGCAGTGTTGTCTAACAATGAATTTTCTTGGGTTATAGCTACACCCTGCATAAAAATATAAGATGTAACAAATTCATAAGTGACAAAAGTAGTTGAAACCTGCTCTCAGAGTACAGGAGCCTTGCTTAAGAAAAATAATATTCTTTGTCATCAATGTGACACATGACCAGTTAAGCAATGAGTGTTAGTTTTTAAGAGTGCAAAGGCACAGGGTCAGTCATTTATATAAGAACTGCAAAATATAGCTGAATAAATAAAGCTACCATCCAGCAACTCATCATAATCTAAATAATCTGGCATAGGCACTTGAGAAACCAAGCAATCCTAAGTCACTATGGGTCTGGGCGGTTATTGAGGTGAGCCTCATTTTAACCTACACTGACTGTCTAACCTCAGTTTAGTAACAAAGGAAAATTTGAAACTATACTCTGAAGCAGTGAGGAAACAAATAAAAGTAGAAACAAGAACCTGAGATCAAAACCTGTTTTGCAAAATCCAGACCAGCATCACGAAAAGCTTTCTGTACTTCCAACAAACCATTTCGAGTTTCTGGGGTACCTCCACTCTGAAAAGTTGACATAGAGTACCATCAAATGTTAATATGTGACATAACAAAATTAATTAGAGGGAAAACATCCATGCAGACCTTAGAAATCACTATTACAAGTGTCGAAGCTAGCTCAGATCCTAGCTGTGCAATCTGATGATCAATCCCAGCAGGATCTGTGTTGTCAATGAATCTTATCTGCCAATAAGAGAATAAAATATTCACTACATATTCCAAAAAGATTGAACAGGAAAATATGATCATACATATTAACATCAAATTATTAGATTGTTTCACTGAAAATTCGTAGTCAGAGCATTCATTTTAGCACATAATGATTATGATAGAGCTCCATTCTTCATGGCAGTTAGAGCATCAAAGCTCATAACGATTTACAAACAGGCAAAATATAAAGGTTATCAAGTACCTTTAGAGGAGGATTATCAGGAGCTAATGCCTCTGCAACAAACTGGGGTCCCAGAGCTGAACCTCCAATCCCAACAGAGAGTACTTGAGTAAAGCGACCCGCTGGAGAAGAAGGGGGCTTAATCTGCAATTTAAAACATCTAGAACATGAAGCATGTCCCCGTTACTAATTTAGTTAGACAGTAGTAGAAAGTAATCGCTAGGTCTTTAGCAAGCACCCATGTTCTAAACTCCAATTCCATAATTTCATGATGTGTCAATTGTCATTGCATTTAGACTCTTTGAAACTTCAAGATCGCTATCTCCAAAATTTGATAATCTCACCTTACCACTGATGATTTCATCAGCGAACTTGCAAATAGCATCGAGCGTGTTTTCAATCTGCTGCTGCAAAAACTTGTTCGGCGCAAGCTTCGAATTCCTCAGCCAGTAGTGTCCGACCATCCGTCCTTCGTCAGGATTCGCGATGGCGCCTTTCTCCAGCTCCTCCATCGCCTTTAACGCCGCTTGGAATCTCGGCTCCATCTCCGCCACAAACTCATCCGTGAACCCGATCCGACTAACATCCAGGTACAACCCGAGCTCCTTGTGCTGGTACAGCCAATCAACGTACCGCCTCCACAGCGCGTGAGGATCTTTCTCAAGTCCTCTCTTCGGCTTCGGCAAGCCGTCGTTTGCTTTGGTCAAATCCGTGGATACCTCCCGAGCTACGGACTGAACTGCGACGGATTTTGACCCGGATTGGAATGCGAAGGAGAGGGAGTCCTTGTGAAATGCCGGAATTAGCTTGGTGATCTGGTTGTGGTTGTGCTTAGGGTGAAGAGAAGGGGAGGAGGAGCAGAGGCCTGCGAAAGAAGCCATGGGTAGAGAACCTGTGAAAGTGAGCGATGAAAACGATGGGGAGAATTTTGTCTGCTAGAACATGGACTGAGCTGAATTTTTGTGAATAGATGAACTAAAAGTCTAAAACGGTTTGGATTATTTGCGGTGGCGGGGACTTTTTTGTCTCTTCAGTTGATCCTTGGTTGGTTTTGGGTTTTAGAAAAGATTTATGTATACCTAAACATTGGCCCTTGAACTTGCAGCTAGTTCTCAATTAAGCCTTCTCAATTTGGTTCTCAAAATTTTCTTTATAGCTTTTGGAAATGCAGAAGAAGTTACCAAAATTGCAAAAAGATGGTTGCATACCTCATCTAACCATTCATTCTTCATAGAAGAAGTGATATTTAAAAAAAAAATTAAATAAACTAAAAAAAATATCAATCTTACTTTTAAAAATCAATTACACTCATCAAGGGTTTTATGTAATAATACTCACATTTTCTTTTCTTCCCAATTTCTTTGCATCATTGAGTGAAAATTGAATTAAAATCAATGATTTAATTGAAAAGATAAGATTATTTTTTTATTTTGCCAGATGAAATTAGTATTTATTAATTGAATCTTTAAAATTTAAGAAAAAAATATTTTAAAATTATATCATTTCAATGACGAACTACAAAATGAAACCCAAACAATCTTATTCTTATTTTAAAAATAAAGTATTTTAGTTTTTTAATAAAAATTTATTGGAATCATATAGTTTTAAAGTATTTCCTTTCTTAATTTTTTAAAAATTCAACTAATAAATACTTTTTTATTTATTAGATACTAGAAATATATGTTCCAAAAAGTGGTGTTTTCAGCCTTGAAAGAGAGTTAGCTGATATATGAGGCACATGATGTCTTTATCTGATTTGGGCACTTCTAATGCATTTCAAATAAAAAAAAAAATTGAGGGTCCAATTGCAAACATCTATTACTTTGAGAACTTAATTGGAATTAACTAGAAGTTTGAGGACCAAAGTGGAGGTTTTTCCTTAGTTTTACTGGCGTGGATGATTTAGTGAAATGACATCCCTACCCTGGAATATTCTCCTGGCGCACAACATAGGTTCTGACCACAAGGGCGCGTTTGGTGCGGGGAAATTCACATTTTTACCTACTAAAATAAAGGATGCTAAAGTTGACATTTTTAATCTTTCATTTTCTTGCATAATTCCTAATAAATAATTTTTTATTTGAAAAAAATTTTCTCAACTTTTCTAACATGAAATCTACTTTACATTTTTCACTAACCTTCTTAATGTGAATTTTTTTCCAAATAAAAAATTACAATTGACCTATAATATTTCAAAATTTTAATAAAATTTTGTTATAATATTTATTATTATAATAATTATTAATAAAAAAATTTTAAAATAAAATTAATCTCTAACCAAAACCTGACTGTTTATATGGACCCAACACTCAGAACATTTCAAAATAGAAGTTTGGTGGTCTCCTAAAATTATTGTTTTTATAAAAAAAATTAAAAAAATTAAAAATAGTAAAGAAAAAAGTGTTTTATTTAAATCAACTTTAAAAAAATATTTGTAAATCCGCACTTATTGTGTTTAGTTTGGTTATAAGTTTTTCTTTTAATCTTTTTATCTGAATTCTACACATTAATTTGTTTGATTAACAATTTTATGAGACTAATTTAGTTCAAATTTATGGCAATGTAAAATCGAAGAAAGGAGGTAATTTAATTTTATGTAATAAGTGAGAGTTGTCATCACAAAAAATGTTAAAATCACTAATTTTTTTATTTAAAAAAAGTATTTAAAATATTAATTTGTTAATTGATTTTAATTTATTAATTACTAAATATTAATTGTTTTAACCAT